ATCTGATCGATCTCGTAAAGGCTGGTCTGGAAGAACTCGGCATCGCTTCGCATCATCTCGTGGTGGAAGGCGTTTGCACCGATCTCGCAGATGTGCACCGGCGTGAAGCTTGGTACAGGCTTCGCCGGTGGCAAGAAAGGTACCCCTGGGATCTGAGGTGTACTCGGGGCAGTGTCGGTGGTCATTCCGGAGTCCGAAATTATCACTTTCATTTCCATCGAGCGTCCGCCTGCGCGGCGTCTGTCTTCGTGGTGGATTGCGGCATCCCTACGATTCGCATCCGACTGGTGAGAAGGATGTCGAATGGACGTTTCGCGCGAGTGGTAGGGCAAGGTGATCTCCTTGCTCCAGCTAGGAGTAGGCGGGTACTCCTTTGGCCATACTAGCCGGCTCTTTGCAGAGTCGAGTAGTATTCGGAAGCGGCTGAAAAGCTTCCTCCCAATTATCACATCTTGCGCTCCAAGGTCCAGGAGCACAAAGGGGCAGTTATATATTCGGCGTCCTTCGACTGTTAAGTGCAACCGAATATACTCCGATACGTGACTTTGGATTTTTCGCTGAAAACCACGTATGGGTACAGAGTAGGGCAGTTTCCGTATGGGGCTCTGAAGCGCCTTCGACAGTCGTAGCGCGAAGGGCTTGTTGATGACGAGGTATCCGTTTGCTCCTGTGTCTGCGAGAGCCTTCGTTTGCACACCGAGTCCGTTCAGACTCAGCGTCGTGTCGACTAATAACTGGGTTCCGCCCAAGAGTTCTTGTAGGTCGAGATCTCGCAGATCACATTTGCGTAGACCTAGGAAGGAGCCTTTCCCTAGGCCTCGTCGTTTTCCTCCAGGGACGCATCCGATTGGAGTTCGACTGCCTCCTCCCACTGCTCTTCGGGTTCAGGGGCTTCGCGGTCAATCTCTTTGACTGTGGGGTTGAGCGGGCACCTGTCCTGGAAATGACCGGGCTTCGCGCATTTGAAACAGTTTCCAGACGCAGCCGGCACGGCGGTCCGCACGCGACCTGTTATGTCCGGCTTGGGGGCGGTGGGTATGAAAGGAGTCCTCTGGAAGGAACCCAACGGACTTCTTGTCGTCTTCGGTGGTTGGGTCTTGGCGGCCTCCACAGGCGGGAACCTGGATGAGCCGAGGCGGGCCCGTCCTGGGAAGCTCGACTCGCCGCTCTTGGACTGGGAGCTCAACTCGCCGTTCCTGCGTCGCTCTTGGTCGAAGGCGGTTAAGGCTCGGACCATGGTGAGGTAATCGCCTTTCCATTGGTCCTTCACGACCGCCACGCGGCTGCGGAATTGCGGTGTGAGCTTGTTCCACATATACTGAAACCACTCCGATTGTGATACTTGTCCCGTAATCGCCGCACTTTGGAAGCGGGCTTTGAACTCGGGGAAGGTTTCGTGTAAGTGACCCTTTTCGCCCATCTGCATATCGTCGAATTCGTTCCGGGCCTGTTCGGTCTCATTACCCGTAAGGTAATATGATCCTAATAGGTCCATCATTTCGTCTGCGCTCTGGAAGCCATGCGTATCCGATAGGTATTGGGGTTCCAGATATTTCTTTGCCAGGCCGGTCGTAGTTCCCCATATCAACGCTCTTCTCGAGACGTCGGTAGGGTAGTGGTCCTCATTGACTACAAGTCGGTCCCGAATGGACGCGCTCCATTGCATAAAGGTATGTTCTATCCCATCGCTGAGCGGCGTAATCTTCTCAGAGATGGTGGATTTCTTGTAACGGTTCGGAGGGTCCACGGTGTACTGTCGGGGTAGACCCGGGATTGAAGGAGAGCGCGCATTGTCGACAGGTGGCAGTCGAACGGTGCCGGGCGTGTTTCGCATTGTCGGTGCAGGCTGTTCGTCTTCGTCGGCCTCAATGGTGCGCACTGGGGCGTCGGCAGCCGGTGGTGGCGTAGACGGTATTCGGGTCTGGCTAGCTACGAGGCTGGCTACCATCGCCTTGAGCTCCCACATCTCGTTCTCGAGGTTCGCTATGCGATCCGGGGGGCTTTCGGATGGCCCTGCGGTCGTGCCCGCTGTGGCGGTTTGCCTAGTTGTCATTCGTAGCGGTTGACCGTCATTGTCGGGTGGTGGGTTTTGTGTCGTCTTGCGCGACATCTTGATTCGGGGGTGTATCGAGTCGCAGTCGATACGGAAGAGTTTGACTTCCGGTAGCTCGTAGCTATCAACACTCTTGTTCACAATTGCCTCTGTGCTTGAGGGGGTTCTTTAGGATCTCGTATCCTATTCGGCGCCAACGCGTCGGCGACTTTACCAGCTTGCTCTGCAGGATCAAACCCTGATCCACTGGCTGTCCGTGAGTTCTCTGGGGTCACGGCTATTTGGAGTCATCAGGTCTCTACTTCGAAATGTCACCGAGTCGCGGTCGGTGGTGTTTCGACAGTTCTCCTGAGTCGTTCCGGTTGTGGGATATTATTTAGGTACGGCCGTCCCCGGCAAGCGTGATCTTTTTTGTATAATGTAAGGACACAGGGAATACGGCTCTCCGTAGGTGCATATGGGAGTGCGAGTCGGAGGTGATGCTGTATTCTATCCTATAGGTCTACTACGAAGGATACAAAAAAGATGAAAGGGGAGCTTATAGCTTCCTACCCCTTATGTACCTAAATGGGGTCCGACTCGGCTAGGCCTTAGCGTACCGGTAGATCCACTCCCGTCTGCCGCCCGAATCGACCCCGACCCTAGAACATCTATGCTGCTATACTACTATGTCGCCTATTCCGCGTTGTCTTACGGGTCCGAGGGTACCCCGTGTAAGGAGGCATCCTTACAGTAAATCGACTATCACATACTTCCACGTCTTTTCCACGCTTCCAAGCATTCATCTTGTTACTCCTTGTTTCTGAAAAGTCAGTGAGGTGTTAACCTCTGACTTACCCCTGAGTTCCCAGACTCAACATTTGTTGCAACTTGTCTGAACCACTTCACTACATCACACACCTGATTGCTGCGTTGTGGAATAGTCTAAGCTACGACCCTTTGGCTCTGTTTTCTAAGACAGTGTGTTGTCTTAGTAAATTCATCCCTTCCTTGGGTGGCTAGATTCTCACATCTGGTGCACCCACCATTACAGCTAGAAACTGGGCTAATAACCAGCTCAAAAGAGCTGGGGTTGAGGCCTAGAGGGTAGAGCACCTCTGGAAAAAGAGGGTAAAAGCTCTTCTTCAAGCTAGCAACCTAATTCCACTAGAGGATCGGGACCCAATTCGGGACCCAGAAGCTGCTAGAGTGAGTGCGAGAGCGAGAGCGGGAGTGAGCGTTGGAGTGAGTGTGGGAGTGAGCGTGGGAGTAATGAAGTGATAATTTCTTACAATTATTGATATATGTACCTTTACATACAAATTACTATGTAATGGTACTTATAGCCTAATATTCCGAAACCGAGCACATCGCTTCTGCTCATTTTTGAAACCGCGCGGATCGCTTCCTCCAACCTTGAGCGAAGCGAAAATTTGGTCACGACGATTACTATTCGATTATTCGATCGAGGAAGCAGAACATCAACAAACCTTCATTAAGGAACCATATCCAGGAACGAAGCATTACGTATCAATACGTAGGACATAAAAAATGGCGCCTCCACCAAAGCAACGGAAGATTGCCATTGTGGGCTCGCGATCAGTTGGTTATTTGCCATGTTGATTCCCTTACAAACCTCACATGTGCTAATGATGATATTACAGGCAAATCTTCCCTGACGGTCCAGTTCGTCGACGGACATTTCGTGGAGAGCTACTATCCCACGATTGAAAATACTTTCAGCAAAGTTATCAAGTACAAGGGCCAGGAATTCGCAACAGATATCATCGACACAGCTGGTCAGGTGAGCAAGCATCTCCGTTTCACGTGATATCATTATGTTTTTGAATTATATTTTCTAACTGTTGCTCCAGGATGAATACAGTATACTTAATTCCAAGCACTTCATTGGGATCCATGGGTATATCCTGGTGTATTCGGTTGCTTCGATGCAGTCGTTCGAGATGGTACAGGTCATCCGTGACAAGATTCTGAACCACTTGGTATGGTCCCTACCAGCATGCCACATACAGAGAGCGCGGACATTCTAACATTTGTATTAGGGAACTGATTGGGTACCGGTCGTCATTGTCGGCAACAAGAGCGATTTGCGACCCGAGCAGCGCCAGGTCACTGCAGAAGATGCCAAACAGCTGGCAGAGAAATACTCGTGTGCGTGGACGGAAGCTAGCGCGCAGTTCAATGAGAATGTCACCAAGGCATTTGAGTTGATGATTGCACAGATCGAGAAGTCACAGAATCCAAATGAGCCGACGGGGGGGAATAAGTGCTTGGCTATGTAGAGACCTGAGGAATGATTATGTGTTGGTCGGTACATACACCGTGGCAATTGAGGCATGGCCGTCCTATTAGATAGGTTGGAGGGTTCAGCGGAGTTATATATCTGCCTCAGAGCCCCCCATGAGTGTGGCCTTTTCCGACTTGAAAGGAGCATGGCACAAGAGATTTGTCAAGCAGGTCCCGAAACCCACAGGCCAACTCTACCTCATCTCTATGACAAACTCGGCTTTACTGCAATAGATAGGATAGCTCAGAATAATAAAGCAGAGGCAATGTTCGCATCGCAAGATCCGTGTTGTTAATATTTTTGATATCTGTTTGTCAGGCATGGCAGTATCGATTGATCGAGTTCAGTGCTACTATGCATTGCCAAAGCACCTAAAAGACAAGTATAAATCTTTGGATAGTGTATGTTTGACTCGCAGAAACTTTATCACTTCTTATTTATTATTCGTTGTGAGCGATTACTCCGCACGAGTCAATATGGTCTTCCAAATCGTGGTTTGAGAACATGTGACGAGCTGCGGGACGTGGTGGTCCTCCCACCTTGAATTTACCCCACCAACAAAGGCGGCCAAAAAGATTCCACCCACCACCAAACAGACAACAACTTCACCAGCACCACAGCCTTACCCTCATTGTATCGGAAGCTCCGAACGTCGCAAACATGCTTGACGTATTCGACTTCATCGTCGAGAAGGGCGGAAACCCGGAGCAGATCAAAGAGTCGCAGAGGAGGAGGTATGCGCCAGAAGAGGTTGTGGACGAAGTTATCGTGCTGTATGAAGATCACCGCAAGAGTAAACGCGCCCCACGAATCCACACCTCTCGAAGATCATACGCTTATACATTTCAACAGCTCAGTACTCAGCGACCCAAGTGAACACGAAGATCAATGAAATACAAAAGCAGATCGGTGCGAAGAAGAAGGTTCGTTGTGATAGTTCAGACAACCAGGCGCGGGGCACTTTGGAGGCGCAACTGACCACCGATTTTTATTAGGCCAAGGAAGATGCATCTGAGCTCATGGCCCAGAAGCTTGAGCTAGAGAAAGAAAAGAAGGCAAAGATCGAACTTGCCGGTGAGAAGGACGTTGCACTGAAGAAGAAGATTGCCACCATTGGGAACATCGTCCACGAGTCTGTGCCTGTTCACAACAACGAGGTAGGGCTTTCAGATACTTTATTTGGTGTAGAGTATCTAACCGGACAACAGGACAACAACGTCGAGCTGCGAGCGTGGGCGCCCGAGGGATTCTCTGTCGAGAAACGCGACGTCCTGTCCCATCACGAAGTCCTGACACGCCTGGATGGATATGACCCAGAAAGAGGTGTCAAGGTCGTTGGCCACCGTGGCTACTTTCTGAGAAACTGGGGTGTATTTTTGAACCAAGCCATGATTAACTATGGTCTTCAGTTTTTGTCGGAGAGAGGATATACCGCATTACAGGCACCTCAGTTTATGCTGAAGGAGTATATGGCAAAGACCGCTCAGCTTGAACAGTTCGATGAAGAGCTCTACAAAGTCGTGGATGGCGATGCTCAAAATGATAAGTATCTTATCGCGACCTCCGAACAGCCGATATCAGCCTTCCATGCCGATGAGTGGATTATGAACAAGGAGCTTCCTATCAAGTATGCTGGTTTCAGCACTTGTTATAGAAGAGAGGCTGGCTCGCACGGTCGTGATGCCTGGGGTATATTCCGTGTTCATCAATTCGAAAAGGTAAGGCAATCCCCATTCCAAAGAGACTTCTGTGCTAACTTTGTGTTTAAAGGTTGAGCAATTTGTTCTTACCGACCCAGAGAAGTCTTGGGAGGCATTCGAAGATATGATCACCGTTTCCGAGGACTTTTATAAGTCGTTGGGCGTGCCATACCGCGTTGCCGCCATCGTTTCTGGTGCCTTGAACAATGCCGCAGCGAAGAAGTACGATCTGGAAGCCTGGTTTCCCTTCCAAGGCGAGTACAAGGAGCTCGTGTCTTGCTCGAACTGCACGGACTACCAGTCGAGGGCACTTGAGATTAGATTCGGCAACAAGCTCCAAACGGATGTCAAGAAGAAGTATGTCCATGCTCTTAACTCTACACTGTGCGCAACCGAGCGCGCGTTGTGCTGTCTGCTAGAAAACTTCCAAACCGAAGATGTAAGTTGCCCACGATTCCAATCACCTCCGAGAAAACCACTAAATAGCATCTATAGGGATTCACCGTACCCGAGCCACTCCGAAAGTACCTACCTGATGCTCCTGACTTCATTCCATTCACCAAGGAGCTTCCAAAGGATTCCACTTCGCAGAAAGCGAAGGCGAAGGCCGAAAAGTCTGGTAAAGTCGCGAGCGCTGTTGCTGGTGGGGCGGCAGCTGTTACAGAAACGTTGAAGGACCTAAGCACCTGAAAAGCTTTCTCTTTACGGAATAGAAATATGAAATCAACGGCAGAAAGATTGCCTGGTTTGTTTTTATACTTCAGAGCTAGATTTATGCTTGACGTACATCAATAGAAAGCTACCATGTTATGAACCTTGACGATTCGTCTCATAATCTCAATTGAAATCTTGACTTACGTATGGATTATAATCCCATGACGTTAATGTTACATCTAATCTAACGGCGCTGCCAAATCCATCGCCTCCACTCCCCCTTGCTCTCCTTCACTCACCTCCACCCCCCATTCCACCCATTACACACAATTTGCATATGCCGTTGGGAGCTGCTATCCAACGACGCAGCTGCTTTTATATACGGAGCTGCTCTCGAACCAACTTGTAGACTTTGCGCTGTTTCGGAGACTTGATAACTTTACGTATGGTCTGTCCAATCCATCTGGATAAAGCTGGGAAAATGACTGATTCCCCGGCCCAAGCAAAGCAGAAATATACAGCCCCGAGGGATAGAATAAAGAATCGAAAGTCTAAGTCCATTTCCGTGAGTTGCATGAACTTCGCCAACCACTTAGAAGGATCGAACAGCATGTATGATGAAAACAGCAACCCTGTCACGATCGTAACGACGAACGGGACTGTATTTGCGTTAGTAAATCGTTCCTGCGTATTTACTTGAAGGATAAACTTACGGTTTTGTCCAATAGCCTGCCTGAAAGGTGGTCCAACGCTTAAAATTATACCAGAGAGAATATACTGGAAACAGGACACTAGAAAAAGTGTCGTATTCTGGGAATTTTCGATATTGGACTTCTCTTTTTCCAAGTGTGGTGGGATATACCTGCCCGCCGGTCAGTTATGGGCCGAGGCCTAATATGAAGGGTAACATACCAAGGTTGCCACTGCACAACTATGTACCCAATGGCTTGGATCAAAATGCATATTGATATCTGCCCAATAAGTGGAACTAATACTTTGCGAGACACAAGGTTGGCTGTAGGACGCCTATTGGAGAGTATCCGGTAAGGCCCGGTCCAACCCACTGATGAGGCGGTTAGAACTGTTCGCATTGTAAAGGGGTGCAACTTACTGAAAATTGCAATTGGGAGGATTAGAACCAGATCAATGAAAAGAAACTATGGCAATTAGTATTACTAAACATTCATTGAATTTGAGTAGTATCATACCTGGAAATCCCCCAAGTTAGATGCGGTGGCGTATAGGAAGCTGACGGAAGTGAATTGAATTGCGGAGTATAGGCTCATATATTTGAAGCAGCTGAAGCTGGTAACTAAAGCCGCACGTCCCTCTCTATTCATAATATTAGTAGGCAAAAGGGGCAGGTCAGTGGATCTTACTGAATAACCTCTGGGACACATGTGATGTCAAAGATTCTGCTTGTGAATGGGGCTGCAACCGAAGCCTCTGCCTCTGACAGGGAGATCCCAACATCAGCGGCTTTCAGTGCTCCACAGTCATTTGCCCCGTCGCCACAGAATCCGACACAGTAACCGATGCTCTGTAGTTTTTCTACTAGTTCATGTTTTTCGTCAGGGGACATCCTAGCAAAAACTTGGCCTCCAACAAGCATCTCGAAGTACTGTCAGCAAAAGTATGTGTCTTTGGACATTTCATCACGAACCTTTTGGATGACTCCCGGAGAAGCAAAATCAATCATCCAGCGAAACACATCGCCGCTGACAGCTAGAGAGAATTTTTTGAGGTTTGATATATCATAAGGCAATGAGGCGTCTCCTTCAGCGGGAGGTGGAAGCGGCTATAAAAATCAGCGTTTGAAACATGGTTATACTATTGGGGGGGCATACTGTAAGCGTTCGACCATCCAGTTGGTATATGGGGTTATCTATGCTCTCCCAGACCAAACGAGAATTTGGATCTTGGAAATGCCCTGTCACATATCATTAGTGGTTGTAAGCTATAAAATGTTCCTTCGGATAGCGACTTACCTTCAGCAAAATGAGGGACAAAGCAATGGGCAGTTTTGTCGATTAAAGTGCACTCTCTTGCAACGCTTATAGCGGTTAAAATATTGTCGCCGGTGCACATAAGCTTCCTTATCTGGGCCTTTTCAAGCACTTCGAGAACACCTTGAGTGCTTGGCTTCAATTTGTTCTCAAATATGATAAGACTAATAAAATTAAGTTGCGATTCGGCTTCGCTCCTTTTCATCCTTTGTACCTTGACCCAGCTCAATTTAGGTATGTGTCTCCGTGCGCAGGCAATGACTCGGAAACCTCTATGGGTATAGTATGTCAAAAGCTCGTCGTAATCATTAGGGACTGGTCTGAGTTAGGCAGTTTTCTCCAAATACACATCAGTGAAGCGACCTACAGCTTTCAGGTCGGCAGATATCCTTCATGCACTCGGGAGCACCCTTGACATAAATATCGACCCCACGAGATCCAAAATTCCTCACAATTACACTTGATCTCCTCAAGTGAGACGCAAACTCGAACGACTTTAAAATACCAAGCTCAATGGGAGTCGACTGGAACCGCTGTTAGCAAATAATCCTCTAGCGCATGCCAGTATGCAAGGCATAGAAGGCACTTACATTCTCTGGGCCATCAGGTTCACGAAGGCCATACTCCAGCTCCGTGGGGGGCCTCGCGGTTGAAGGTGAAATGCCTTTACTTTCATCATCGTCAAGCTCGCCTGAGTTTTGCTGACCTTCTTCAAATGACCATCCAGTGAACTCAAACATCTTCAAATCCAGAGGATCACCGACTAGGCCGGCCTCAACTGATCTCAGCGAATGACACGTCGACATAGTAAAAAGTGTGGCCTTGTGGGTGTCGTAATCTACCGTAGGATCTCGTTCGTATGAAGCTCCTGGAACTAACGATGGTGCATCAAGCAATATATCGCTGAATCTATTTGCAGGGCCCTCCACAACACGCACCCCTAGAACGTCTAGTCCTTCCTCCGTAAGTGTGCCTGTCTTGTCAAAGCACATAAGATCAATCTTGCCCCCCACATTGACTCGTTGCGGGCTAATGCAGAAAATCTGCTTCTTTCTGAGGCGCGATAAAGCAAAGTTTGTTCCTATAGTTAGTGTTGCGGGTAAGGCAGGGGGTACAACAATAGTAATAAGGTCCAATGCGCGAACAATTATCAAATGCCAAGCAAGTCCCAGTCGCACAAAGTTGACGAAGGAGGCGGTGAAACCAAGTAGAGCAATTCCACCCATGACCGAGATATATCGAAATGAGTCCTGGTAAAATTTGAAGCCTGATGGTTTCGGGAAAAGCATAGACCGAACCAGCGCTCCTTTGGTCGTATTGAATCCAATGCGAACGGCCATTGCAAGGCCCACTGCTTCATCATCTTTGTCATCCTGAGGTCGGCGAGCACGAATGATTTTGGTGCCACAAAATAGGAAGTGTTTGCTCACTTCAGGCGCGACCGATGTTGCTGCTAAATTCATGTATTGGAGCGACTCGTCCGTGGCCGGCGTTTTCGAAACTGGCACTGACTCGCCTAACACTGTTAGTAAGATGGGAGAAATCTCGGTATACATAACTCACCAGTCAGCATACTCTCATTTACAATACAGTCGCCAGATATTAAGAGGCCGTCGCATGGAAATTGTGATAGTACTGGATCTGTTACTTCGTAAACATCTCCAGGGACCAATTCGCTTGACGAAATATAGCGCCCTTAGCCAATATCAGCATCATCCAGTGAGTATGGTAGGGGAACTTACAGAAGCCATTACGGAGAACCCGTATATCACACTCGAATCTCGAGATCTCTCGTAACCGTTTCATGGTCTTCAAGTGTTAGTTAGTAGCTGTGCTTGGATTTCGACAAGAAAACGTACCGAACGGGTTTCAACAACAGTGGTTGTGATACTCGCAACCGAGATGACAAATATGCACATGGCGTAATAGTAGTACTCATCAAGAGACCACAAAATGATACTAGCTATCTGAAAGACATAAAATGGGTGAAAAGCCTGGCAAGTTAGCTGCAGAAAAGGGTGTTATCTCGGAAGGGACCAACCTCGTCCATAAGTAGCTGGGGAATAGTCTTCTCCTTGATGTCGATAAGGTTCCTTCCAAATACTGCTTCACGGGTATCTTTTTCTTCGCCATCAATCCCAACCCGGATAGACTTGACATCGACCCAGGAGGGATCCTTCCAGCTATCAATTGATATAAATCTTCCTTTGAAAGGATGGAAGCAGAATCTCATATAACGATAATCAAGAAGCCTCAATTTTGGCAAAATGGGATCATCATCTTCGTATGATGTTTGACGATGCTTTTCCGCACCAAAGACGGTTGAAAGTGGCTTCTCATAGTCGATGATATTTAAATCTTGGATAACAAATTCGCCCCATTGATTCTGTAGCAATCATTAGCCCATGCAAATTGACGACGTTGCGGTGATCATACCTCAACAACCACCCAGGAGCAATCGCGTAATGGGGTCGGCGATCCAGTCAACCAAACCTGCCATTTGGGAATCCAGCGGAATAAAAGGTAGGCCAGACCGAATGTTATTACGCATATAATGCCATAGACAATATAGCCCACCTGACTCGTCCTAAAGCCGGCCACAACAATCGTTAAGTCCTCATTGACGATATATATCCTTTGGCTCACCTTACCTCGACCGTGCGGATGGCTCTCAGATATTCCACTGTCGCTCTGAAGTAAACGGTCATGTACAGAACCCCGGGAATAATTTGACGACATGCGTCTCATTGACAACTCCCCGGCTTCCAATCCTGCGGAATCCTCCTCGTAGAGATCCCCCTCGTAGCCATCTTCATGGTAGATGTCTTCTTCATCTTCCAACGCCTCCTCGTCTCCAGCCGCAGTAGCATGCCACTGGGCATCATCTGCAGGCTGCAAGTACGTAAAGCCAGCGGTGGAATCTGCTCTTGCTCTGTGATGGGCAAATGATGTGACGCTTGTGGGCACGCTCTCGGACATGGGGCCCGAAAAGATCTAGATATATGTAAGTATTTGCAGCCTTTATAGAAAGCCGGTAAAACTACAGACCTCATCATGTGCCATTTCTACATCGCCCATGAAGCTCGAGGAGCTTAAATTTGAATTACGTCTGCGAATGGAGCGATAGCTCTCATTTGAAGGGCGGGGAGCCTGGGAGCTCCTGCGCCCTGAACGCGCAACTGACACAGGATCGGTGGAATCCATTGTGATGTCAGATGCCGCGGGGAGTTGAAATTTATGCCAATGAGGCCTCCAGAGCTATTATATCATTTTGCAGAACGTAGAAAGATATCATATTACTTTGAAAACAACTTTGTTACTCCACTTTGTCCCTTCTGTACGCGTTCTAGGCTCTAACCGAGAAGAGAGATCCAGCCAGGTTTATCTTGTTTGTGGCGATTAGCGATAACGAAGATTGTACCCCAAAAATCACATGATTCGCCTTTGACCCCACGCCTAGATCTTAGACCATTTTTTCAACCCAACGTGAAATTCGGCTCGACTCTGAATTCAACCACATCAAACTTCACCGTTCCCAACGACATCTCACCACCCCCAACCCCACCTTCTTTGTACTATCCAAGAAGAACCACACCTTGGACAATACAACACCATACTCGTCGTCCTCAAGTATAACAGTATTGAAGATGTCTGAACCCATTCGCAACAAGAGAATGGACGGCGTCCCCACCGCCCCGTATGTTATCGGCGCTTTGTTGCAAACGACGTGTTGCGGCGGTAACTGACGATGTTTTTTTTTAGGACGCCACAAAACACGCCCGCGAACAACGCTCCTATTTCATCCCATGCTCAGCAGCCAGGTGTCTCAAGCATTAAAGAAGGTATATACATGTTCATACCATTGATATTGTGAGTATTACTCTAACACTCAGCACCAGAGGAATTTGACAGAGCCGCTGCCGCCTCAATCTTCGCACAAAACCCAAAGCTTGTCCAGATGATTCAAGGAAAGCTCAGCTCGCTGGTTGGCCAGTCATCAGGATACGTCGAGTCACTGCCAACACCTGTACGCCGCCGTGTCGCTGGTTTGAAGGGTGTCCAGAGGGACCACTCAAAGTTGGAGGCCGAATTTCAAGAGGAGGTCCTACAACTGGAGAAGAAGTACTTCGAGAAATTCACCCCGCTCTACCAGAAGCGCGCCGCGATCGTGAATGGTACCGCCGAGCCCACCGAAGATGAGATCAAGGCTGGCGAGGAGGGCGAGGGAGAGGAAGAGAAAGACAAGTCAGAAGCTGCCGTCAAGCCAGAAGAGACTACGGATGCTATCACTGGTATTCCAGAGTTCTGGCTCTCTGCCATGAAGAACCAGATTTCTCTTGCAGAGATGATCACTGACAGAGATGAGGCCGCCCTCAAGCACCTCACTGACGTGAGAATGGAATACCTCGACAAGCCTGGGTTCCGTCTGATTTTCGAATTCGCCGAGAACGACTTCTTCACCAACACGACCATTACGAAGACATATTTCTACCAGAATGATAGCGGCTATGGCGGTGACTTCATCTACGATCACGCTGAAGGCGACAAGATTGACTGGAAGGCCGGCAAGGACTTGACTGTTCGCATCGAGAGCAAGAAACAGCGCAACAAGAGTAAGCTTGTATTGAATTTGCATTATAGGTGCGAAACTAACCCTTCCCTAGACACCAAGCAGACCCGCGTTGTCAAGAAGACCGTGCCTACGGAGTCATTTTTCAACTTCTTCTCTCCTCCAAAGGCACCGACGGATGAGGACGATGATGATTCTGCATCCGACATCGAGGAGCGCCTCGAGTTGGACTATCAGCTCGGAGAAGACATTAAGGAGAAGCTCATCCCGCGTGCCGTAGACTGGTTCACCGGAGAGGCTCTCCAGTTTGAGGAGATGGATGATGATTTGGAAGAACATGATTTCGAAGATGACGATGATGAAGAAGATGACGACCTTAGCGAAGACCACGATGACGAGGATGAGTCTGAAGAAGATGTATGTTTTGCTCCCGCCCATTTATCAGCCGACATCTAACAAAACAAGGATGACAATGCCAAGCCAAAGCAGGAGGCTGCCGAGTGCAAACAAAGCTAAATCGACTGATATCTCACCTGGTTGGAATACTACAAAACAGCGATGGCACACCCCCGCCACCTAGTTACCGCCCAGAGCAGAACAGAATCAGCGTCAGAGCCCCAGTCCATCATAATGGACGTTCCGCATGAGGCCTTGCAGTAATTATGGATTGAGAATTTGCATAGGTGTTTGTTTTACTGGAGATTTAGTTTTGGTTTCGTTACCGCTAGATTTTAATACGCTACCAAACTCTAGCAACTTTATTAACGAAACCTCAAAATACTTTGTTTATTCAAAGATACATCTGTTGCAAACTAGTCCAGCTGCTACCCAAGTCATAGAAAAGTTTGTAGCTAGCGATCGATCCGATAAAAGTAAATACTTGCCTTTGACGTACATGCTTTTTGCCAAGGACACATTATTTGAATATTGTCACGTAACATATGAGAAAACTTATTACTGGGAGGTTTGACTTTTTATAATAGTGTAAATGCGACGAAAGCGCTAAAGCAGGTGGTTGAATAATACTGTGTGTGGCAAGATCTCACGAAGTCGAAAAGAAGGAAGCGTTCTGCTTTCCCCATAACCCCGCCATACCCCTCCCCTCCACACCACAGCTTTTGTTGGCCTCTGTAATCGCAATGCGACTGTTTGGAATTTTATAGCCGGAACAAAAGAATATAACTAAACAGTGGCAATTGCATTAATTTTTAGCCATTTTCTTCCCATCAAAACTATGCGCGCACAAACTAGCCCAATTTACCCGTGAAAGGCTTTGTAGACCAGGGGCGGGGCTGGGCGAGGGGTTTCCTGGGCCTATGACGTGGCTGCGATTGCGGAACGACTGGTCGTAAAAGTATTTGGGTGGAGAGTCACAACCACAACCCGCCTGTCCCTTCTTTCTTTTCTGTATATTTCACCTAAGCTTTCAAATATACCATTCACCATGGCGACTCCTGCTCTGAACATTGTGGCCCCTTCGGACAAACTCAACATGTCAATCACTGCCAGCCACAGCGTCTCTACGTCGCCATCTGCGACATTCCATTCGCCGTCATCGAGCTTTGGTGGCCCACAGGCGACACGGGCAGCGGCCAGCGCAGCAAAGCCATTGAAGCCATTCGATACTCAGGATGTCAAGATTTTACTCCTGGAAAATGTGAACGAAACTGGAATTGCCATTCTGGAGAGTCAAGGGTACCAAGTCGAGGCCATTAAGACTTCGTTGCCCGAGGACCAACTGATCGAGAAGATTCGGCGAGTAACCACGGCCCCAGATGGCTACTGCACCTTGCTAACTCATCTGCGATGATAGCAACGTCCATGTTATCGGTATTAGATCAAAAACAAAACTCACGGAGGCGGTTCTTCGGGAAGCCAAGAACTTGATTGTCATCGGCTGCTTCTGCATCGGAACAAACCAGGTCGATCTCGAATATGCCGCAAGACACGGTATTGCAGTGTTCAACTCCCCTTTCGCAAACTCGCGAAGTGTTGCGGAACTTGTTATTGGAGAAATTATCTCCTTGGCCCGCCAACTGGGAGACCGCTCGAACGAGCTGCACAACGGCACCTGGAACAAAGTGAGCAACAAATGCTGGGAAATTCGTGGCAAGACTCTGGGTATGGGCATAAATTCTTGAGTTTCCAGACACATCTAACCCTCCACAGGTATAATTGGCTACGGTCACATTGGATCCCAGTTGTCGGTTCTGGCAGAGGCCATGGGCATGTCTGTCATCTATTATGATGTCCTCAGCTTGATGGGGATGGGCACAGCAAAGCAGGTCCCTACCCTGAATGCACTGTTGGAGCAGGCCGATTTTGTCACTTGTCACGTACCTGAGCTGCCAGAGACCACAAATCTTATCAGCGTCAGACAGTTCGAGAAGATGAAGACTGGGAGCTATTTGATCAATGCCAGCCGTGGCTCTGTTATTGATATCCCTGCTCTCATCAACGCAATGCGCAACGGAAAGGTTGCTGGTGCCGCTTTGGACGTGTACCCCACTGAGCCAGCTGCGAATGGCGACTACTTTATAAACAATTTGAACTCTTGGACCGAGGACTTAAGATCCCTAAAGAACATCATTCTTACCCCGCACATCGGAGGAAGCACTGAAGAAGCTCAGCGCGCAATTGGAGTTGAAGGTCGGTAACACAAATCCAGAGCTCGTTGTATTGGTTGACTAATATAATGCAGTCGCCGACGCCCTTGTCAGATACGTAAACCAGGGTGTGACGTTGGGTGCCGTGAACGTGCCCGAAGTCAACCTTCGTTCATTGACCTTGGACGAGCCAAACCATGCAAGAGTAAGATACCAATGGCAATTACATTGACGCAAGTTGCTGACGAAATAGGTCATCTATATCCATCACAACGTCCCCGGTGTGCTGAGGAAAGGTAAGCCCCCCCAAGGAATCAACTTAAGAGTAACACGCTGACATTTCCTTAGTCAATGCGATCTTGGGAGACCACAACGTTGACAAGCAAATATCCGATAATAAGGGCGATGTAAGCGCTATCCTGTACTATTTTGCGGACAACCACTGATCTGAATGCGAATAGGTTGCCTACCTAATGGCCGATATCAGCAATGTCAACCTAAATGATATCAAGGAGATTTCTGATGCGTTAGAAAGCCTGCAGTGTAAGTTACTTTGTATCATGAGTTAGACTTGTTTCATGGACTAACCTTACCAGCTCGCATCCTGACCCGTATTCTGTATTAAATCATAGATGCTATCGGGCGGCACAAATATTTGGATTATTTTGCAAGGTTGGCGCGAGGTGCGAGAGGGGATGGAATTCAACACTTATAGATGAAAATTGTACCGAAATTGGATCTGAAGATACGCTTTTGTTAAATGGTATCAATCAACTATATCAAACTTTATTGCCATCTCATAAAGTCCTGATCGTGCTCTGCAATGGTACATATGGTGAACGTGGATGATGTACTCAAGACGAAGACTCGCAAGAAGGGTAGCCATCCTTGAAGTTGAGTTGATAGCGCAGTATTACTAAGCTTGTGCATAGCAGGCCGAACTGTCATTTCAATAAAAATCTAGGCAATACAATTGTCAACGATTCACTCAATGGCTTAGACTTGATCACGCAATATCAGACTTTGCATATCTCATGAGCGGGCTTGCGATTTCTATTGAACAAGCTATATAAAAAAGCTCCTCCGCCTCAATTTCGCACAAAAGCCATGTTTCTTCGAACAGAAACTGTCTATGACTGGTAGCTTAGCACATCCGTGAAAGTATAATATCTGTTCCGTAACGCTGCACCGGGAACAAGTAGGTAGGCCAGAAAGCCGGGGTATCTCGACATGTGAAATTGCGACCATGCCCCACGAAAATGCAAAAAGCCGAATGTGCGACCGAACGCCCCAGTAATAACGAGAGTTGTACATGCGTAACGTGAATGTGACGTAAAAGCGAAAAGTAGAAAAACTGAAAAGGTCTACGGTGCGTTCGAGTTTGCGCGAGGAGTTCGTCGCTGTTTGGGGCCTCGAAGATGAGCTTCTTGGATATCCCTTTCAGCCCAGTCGGGTAATTTTTTGGGAACTTGAGACGCTGAGCCTGAAGAGGTACGTTGGTTTCTTATGGATCTTCGAGAAGCGTTGATGAGTGCCAGGTATTCTCTATCAGAGGCAGCATGGGATATGCCGTCAGATTTTGACCGCCTGGGCTTCTAGTTTGTGTCAGTTCGAGGACCCAGGGAGAAACTGCTGCCGAAGCGCGAAAGGGACTTGAGAATGGGCTGGTTTTGGGGTTGAACATCTCTTGACTGTTCGGCCGAAGAAATGTTTGACGTTTGGCCTACTTTTGGTTCCAATAATCCACCTATTGCTGCAGCCGTATTGGAAGCTGTGGCAGTTGTTGGCTTTGATGGTCCATTGCTGGACTGCTGATGCCTAGATGATGACTCGGGAGCGATCCCAGTGAGCATACCGTTTCGTTTGACATCTAAAGCACGAGAAACAACCTTATCTCGGAAACCACTATCGCTTTTAAAGTGGGCAGTCATTTCCTTAACTCTCGAGGTCAACAAGTCATGGTTATCGCCAGTAGATAGTTGAAGGTTTTTATAAATCGAAGCTGCGAGACCTTCGGAAGCTTGCTCTTGGCTATGACCGCCTTGCTGCAAGGACAGCTTAAGGTTGTGGATGAGATCCTGAGAACCCACTGGCTGACGCGGCTGCGTATGCCGAGAAGTAGTGGGGGTGCTAGGCAACGGCAAGGGGGATCTACCACCCGCACTCTTCACTGAACTTGGTTCCTTCGAAGATCTAACGGGAGAAACTAGTGGTTGTGTCCCATGTTGTGAATCTTCTGCGATAGATATTGTTCCACTTCCCATGATAGGAGGCCGACCAGGTGTGCGTTGCGCTTGAGAGGACGGTACTACCGGTCTTGGGGTACGAAGTCGAAATGGGGAATCACTACGGTTTGTATCCGTAGATTGAATGGCTGCACCCGGTTGCTGGGAAGGTGGTGGAACCATTTTAGGTATGATAGAGTGAGCTTCAGCGCCTTGGCTGTGTAATACCGTTGGGGATACATCCGATTGCGATTTCACACTATCGGCGTATAGAGCCTCATTTTTGAGTCTCTCCATAACTAATCGCTGATTGACCAGTGCCTGCCATGCCACAGGGTCCGAGCGCTTCAATTTTTCATCTTGAAGGAGCTGCCGAACTTCTTTTCGTTCTTCTGCAGTAAGGTTGTCATCGCCTTTGCGATTGAAGGTATCTGTCATGATTATGTGTCGAATGCTAGGTGTATCGGTCTGAGAATCCAAGATCTTGTCAAGTACAGATGGGTCCATTCCTCTGACATTAGCGAGATTCTTCTGCTCGACGTGTTTGGGCTTAAACAAGAATTCACCCTTTTCACGCTTCGCCACAGCGAAAATATGCTGCTTATCAACCAATTGCGAAGCTAGTTGTTTTTTGAAGACAGCTTTGTTGTGAAGCTTCTCCTCGAAAGTTCCGCCTGCAATGAAGCGATAGACATAGACGGGTTTTTTCTGACCAAGTCTGTATGCACGGCCAACTGCTTGTTCTTCATTGATTGGATTCCATTTGAAGTCGAAAATAATGACACGGTTCGCTCCATAAAGATTAAGCCCTAAGCCGCCAGCCGTGGTCGAAATGAGGTATACCTCCGTATCTCCAGTGTTGAATTCTTTGGTGAGTCCCTGGCGCTTCGTCATTGGTGTGCTTCCATCAAGTCGACCATAGTTTCGCTTCGTTAACTTGCAAAGATTCTCCAGATAGTCAAGAGTTGCAATTGTTGTGGAGAATATAAGAACTTTGTCTCCGACTTCCCTGGAAGCATCCAGAATTTGGACCAGGATTTTTGTCTTGTACGAATTGTTTGCGTTTTCCGTTCCTGGTCCATAGCCACCGAAGAGATCCGCGAC